GTTAGAATCTGGTGTCTCTTCTTTGAAACAGATTTGCCTTATACTTCTTATTTAAATTGCTTTTATTGTTGAACTTCCTTCAATTAACATGTAATTATTATTAGAGCAATTAGTGCACAAGTGTCAATTTCTTATTTTGATCACACAGTAACAAGTGGTACCCTTTGTCCCTTTATATCTGTTATTTTTACTAAAGAGCTCCTAGTTAGATGCTCTATAGTCTTAATCTGCATGGTAATATTAATTTCTGCAATATTTTGGCCTTTGTATGTATACACAAGTAGGTATAAGGTTTCACACTTTAGCAATATATTCTAACCTAGAGGCCTAGTACATGAAATTTGTGCCTGGGGTCAGGGAGGGAGGGTGAGAGGGGCAAGGAGTGTCCCTCAGCCCAGCCTTCACCCTCTCCAATATGAGACCTCTCGAGGGATGTCCAACTGCCCTTTTAGGCTCTACTGGGATCAGGCCTAAATGGGCAGTCAGACATCCCTCTCACAATCCAGGACTGCTGGCTCCCAACTGCTTTCCTACCTGCTTTCCTTATTGCCCCTAACTCTTATGTCTATCAGCCTAATCACCCCCTAACCACTGCCCTGCCAGATTGATTGATGCATAACTGCTCCCCTACCAGCCTATTTGCCCCAACTGCCCTTCCCTGCAGGCCTGGTCCCCTTCAACTGCTCTCTCTTGCAGGCCTGGGTCCCCCCAACTGCCCTCCTCTACTTACCTACTCACCCCTAACTGCCCTACCCTGCAGGCTTGATAGCCCCCAATTGTCCTCCCTTGCAGGCCTGGTCCCTCCCAACTGCCCTCCCTTGCTAGCCATCTTGTGTCTACATGGGGCAGCCATCCTGTGTATTTGAGTGACAGTCAATTTGCATATCACTCTTTTATTAGATAGGATGGAGGCCTGCTGTCTGGGTCGGGGCCAGCTGGTTTGCCCTGAAGGGTGTCATGGATCAGTGTAGGGGTTCCCTTAGGGCATGGGGCAGCCTGAGTGAGGGGCCTGTGGTGGTTTTCAGGCTGTCCACACCCCTGGTAACCCAAGTGGAGGCTTGGTATCTGGGATTTATTTATCTTCTATAATTGAAACTTTGTAGCCTTGAGTGGAGTCCAGGGCCTATCAAGGTGTACAGGAAGCTTTGCATCCTCCATTGCTAGGGAAACCCAGGCCTCCTGTTTGCTCCGTGGCCACAACCATCTTGGTTGGGCTAATTTGTATACTCACTCCTGATTGGTTGGTAGGTATGGCTTATGGCTATAACAAAGGCACAGTCAGTTTGCATGTTACTCTTTTATTAGATAGAATGTCTTGTTAATACATGCCTATCAGATATTTGGATTGTTTTTCAATTATACTCTATTCTAAAAATTAAGATGAATTCTATGATATTACCATGCTTACAGTTACTTATTCAAAATATTTGTCCAACTTCTGAGATTTTCCTCATGCAAAAGGTCTCTGTTACTTTCAATGGAAACTTATATCTGTGCTTTGGAACCCAATCCTATCACCATTTTAGGTATTTCACTCTTTCAAAATGATAACTTCCTTAAAGAAAGACAGTGCTTAATATTTCCCTTCACAGAATTTGTTGAAACTCACTTCTCTGATGACACAAAGCTTCATTTTTTCCTGATCTCTGTTTCAGGTAATGATGCCCAAAAAGTGTCATAACTCATGGGCTTCATATTCTCACTTTCAATATATTCTTGAATCCACTAGAATAACAATCCAATCCTTTCATATTTTATTGAAACTTTATTCTCAGGTTAACCAGTCATGTCCATCCTCCAAATCAAACCAACCTTCACTAACCTCACTCAGCTTAACAGAACCCACCGGGGCTGCCTATTTATATCACTTCTCTGTTGATTTCTCATTGCCCAACTCTCCCAATTGTTCTCTTCCTTTTGGCTGTTTCTCTCCTTTTACCAGCACTGTCTTTTACACAGATCCTGGGCTGCTTTAGACAAAAAGTGCTATAGTGTTCAAATCCTTCACTTTCTTTATTCTTGCAGTTCTCTCTCAAATGAGCTTATACCATTCCCATTACCTTAAATTTAAGCTGATATATCTCAAATTTATATTTCCTGTTCAGAAAACACACTTAAATTTCACACCCACATCTAAGTCTGCACTTTTTTATTACACATGGCTTATCTAATTGACATCAAAGAATAATGGGTTAAGGTGATGGACTTCTCTCAAATTGTTTTCTCCCAAAGAGGGTATTTCCCTTACCTCTTTAAAAAAATTTTTTTTATTGATTTCAGGGAGGAAGAGAGAGATAGATACATCAATGATGAGAAAGAATCATTAATTAGCTGCCTTCTGCACCCCCCTCATTGGGGATAGAGCCCGAAATATGTGACTTCCTTATTCACAGGTCATGTTCGAACACTGAACCACACTGGCCCGGCTCCCTTATCTCTTTGTCTAGATCTCTAAATGGGCTTATCCATTATATATATAGTAGATCAAACACACACACACACACACACACACACACACACACACACACACACACGCTGTCCCAACTATGCCCCAATTAATTAATTATCTGCCTAGACTTAGTGGGACAAAAGCAGGTGACTAGGAGTCAGCAATAACGGTCTATCCCCTGGTACTTTAATGTCTAGACAGCTGAGCCAAACTGGAACATAAGACACACAAGACAGAATGAGTATGCAATCACACAGGGTTTATTTACCTATTCCTAGTTGGTCCTAGGCTCTGGCAAAGCCACCCAGTGATACACATGGAAAGACAGATGACGAAGACAGAGACAGGCAGGCAGCCACAGTTGGTTCAGGCTCACACAGCAGAGCAATCAGGGACTCGTCTCACGGAGCGTGGAGTCCTCCTCTATCAGGCCGGAGACGCCAATCGAAGAAGGTCCAGTGCGTATATAGCCAGTGGTAAACAACTTGTGTCTTATCAGTGTGGGCCAGATGTGGTGCCTTATGCTAAGAGCAGGGCATTTACACTTTAACAAAATGTTATAAACTTCACCATGTTTATAACATTTTGGAAGTTACACAGTATTGGGATCTCCACACAGCAAACATTTCACACCATAATCATTTCACACATTAAAGGGATTTTCTTATGATCATAACACTATAACAAATACACACAAACTAAGTTATTTGGGATTTCTACCCTTTACTGCTGCCCCTTCAACAAAAAGTCCCAGTGGTTGTGTCTTATATACACTATACCATTATGTTATACAGTTGTTTCCATTAGCTTCTTTTCCCACCCTTGTCCAAAATGGCATAATTTATATTCTGAATTGTTTTTACATTTCTACAATCCAAGATTTAAAGTAGTCACTGTTATTCCCCCCCCCCCCCCATAACATAAAATAAATCATTTTAATGGAAAACCATTCCTTTTTTCAAAAAAGCAAGAATCCCTTACCATGTGCTGCAGGGCTGGTCCATATACTCATTTATTCTCCTGGCTACATGGAAAGATACATTTGTTTCTAAAGCAAGTCAGGCTTTTTCCTTAAATTGGATCCTTTCATGTTGGTTTTCTATATTCAAGTGTTCTTCCCTTGGCACTTTGCATATAATAGTTCACTTTTTATTCAGGACTAAGGTAAAATGTTACTTAAGCTGAGACTAATGCAAAGGAAAGAAGTACTAGAGGTTTAGGAGAGAAGACTTTTCTCTTCTTATGGTTTGGGACATTTTTAGAACACATGATTGTTTATTATAGTTTTATTCGTATTTAAGTTAATTAAATATTATGAATAATGTGAAACCCCAAAACTTGGGGGTAAAGAAATAAGTAATTTAAATCCAAAGTGTATGCCACTGTGAGTTAGCTGAGGATCAGCTGACCTGAGCTGGCTCTTGTTTGCTGGCTCTGTTATCTCCAATGCGTTCCATCCTGCATTGGCTCATTTACTAGGTAGTTCTACTCCAGGCTGGACATTTTGAACTGGGACAACTCTGTTCACGCATCTCCCTTCTTCCTCTGGGGCCAGTGGACTAGTTCTGGCATGTGCTTCTTATGTCAGTGGCAAAGCATAAGAGGAAACATGTAAAGTCTCATGAAATCTAGGTGCAAATACGGTCTATGATCGTGGTCGGCAAACTGCGGCTCGTGAGCCACATGCGGCTCTTTGGCCCCTTGTGTGTGGCTCTTCCACAAAATACCACAGCCTGGGCGAGTCTATTTTGAAGAAGTGGTGTTAGAAAAAGTTTAAAAATGTTGGCTCTCAAAAGAAATTTCAATCGTTGTGCTGTTGATATTTGGTTCTGTTGACTAATGAGTTTGCTGACCACTGGTTTGGGACACCACTGCTTTCAAATCATTCTATTGCCAAAGTAAGCTGGAGGCCACTCCTACTGTGAGAGAGCCCTGCAAAGCACATGAATTGGAGAAGGAAGAGTTGTGGTCAGTAATGCAACCCACCTTCCATTTATTTCATTTCTCAATCATTGACTTAAAAAAGGTGCTAGAAGATGGACATATGATGATAATGAAATGTGTGGGTTTTCTTCCCCATTTTATTTTTATGATCAAATCTCAGCTACAATGAAACTGTCTGACATTTCCTTCTATTCTAAAATGCTTGTGCATGTAGCAATGAGAAATTTTATTATGCATTTGATTTTTTCCTTCCAATATACTCTTGACTTCCCAGAGGTGATTTTTTTTTCTTTCCTTTATTGATCATTGCATTTCTACTGTCTACTATTCTATTCATGGATTTGGTAGGTATTTTTTTAATTATTAGTTAAACTAAGCATAGCATTAAAGACAAACTGAGATTAAAAATAATTGATGTCACTCTATGCAAATATAAAGTTGCCGGTCCAATCTTAAGAGCCAGACATAAAAGTTAAATATATATATATATATATATATATATATATATATATATATATATATATATATATTTAAATGTGTGAGTTTCTCACTTGATTCACTTTTATATTTTTTTATAATAACATCAAGTATCTATTTTCTTATCTAGATACTTCATTGACTACAATGATGAAGATGACAGGTTTTTCAATATTGATGCCAATACTGGATCTATTAAGACTACAAAGGTTCTTGATAGAGAAGAAACTCCGTGGTACAACATCACAGTTGCTGCTTCAGAAAAAGGTAAATGACTTGACTTTATGTACTATAGGAAAATCTGTCACTGTACAGGAAGATTTATACTGAGATTTTCTCATAAGCAGGTCTCTTACTATTTTTATTTTGATGCCAGGATCTAAGAGAGTGCACAAAATGTGTTAGATACAATTTTACTCATTGTCAGACACAGTGAGTATATCATATCCTTTCTCCTTTACCTTAATCCTGGCATAGTGGTGAACAATTGCATCATGGTCACTTAGTCCTCATGCCTGAGTCAGATGCTTATAAGTAAGTCATAAAGGGATTAGAAGAATGGTTCTTCACACACTGCAGTTTAGAAGAAAAAGAAATGAAAATTGATCATTGTTCTTGAATAATTTCAATAATATAACACCCAGTACTTTAAATGGGAAATGAGTTCATACATATCTACTTAGTAAAAGAATATAGTAAATTGCAGTAACCTGAATTTTATAGATGTCAATAAAAATGCTTTAAAGACAACCCAATGAGCAATACTAAAATGTAATTTAATCCTAATCATAAACATGTGTGTAGAATGAGCACTAGATAAGACTTTATAGCCATATGGCGAGCATTTTAGAAAATTGCACAGCAATGCCCTGATTACTTAGCCTAAGCGCATATTAAATATCAGAGGCTCTTTCATGTACAATTGTTTGTAAGTGCTAACCTCACCACCAGCCACACTGTCAGTGTCTCTTCTAGTTTATTCTGTTGTGGAAATGCACTTGATACTTTTTTTTTCATTTTGAATTTTTGAAAGCCATTCTATGTTAGAACCATTTAGCTTCACAGCACAGTTGAGAGGAAGGTACAGAAATTCCTCATATACTCTCTGCCCATATGCATGCTATTGTCACTGTGCTTATCTTGTTATATGAAATCTAACTCTCACAAACTTGTTCATATTTGCAATTTTCCTTAGCAAGAAAAGAATTTCTTATGGGCACTTTTTCCTTAGCAAACAAAGAAATTGGTATTGCTTCAAGTAAGATCAAAAATAATAACGTCCTTTTCTGACATATCTGTCTACACATGGATACCTCAGTATATTAGTTATCTATTCTGATATAACAGATTACTAGGAAATATCCAAAAGCAATTCAATTTGTTCTAAGGTAAAAGAAAGTGACTGGCCCACATAGCAAACAATAAGGCTCACATGTTAGTTAGGATTTAGACTTACTGCAATTTGATCAGGTCTCTATTTTCATTTCTCTGTGATATTTCCTTTTATATTTATACTTTCTTTTTATATCATCTTTTGCCTTAGAGTTGCTATATTATAGTAACAAGCAACAAATACTGCATTAACTTGTATATATAGTAACAGGATGAATGCCACCTTAAATCAGGGTAAACTCATTCATAACCAAGGTGAAATTGTCATTTTTGAATAACCATTAAAAATGTTACTCAAATCAGGCCATTTTAAATTTTTCATTCACTGTTTTTAAAAGTTGCATTTTATTCATGAAATGTGCATATACGTGGATTAATTACTATGGCAAAAGGTATATGTTCATCACATTGGCTCAAGATAATCAAGGCTCATATTTTATCTTCACTTGTTCTCAATTATATTAAAACTTTGTGGGTTCTACATGTGGAAGAAGTTTGGTGAGGCAGTTATAATACTCGTTCTATTTTTTGTTGTTACTTAGCCATTTATATAACTAGAGGCCTGATGCACAAAATCTGTGCAAGAGCCTCAGCCCTGCCAGCCGCAGCAGCTTGCCTCAGTCCTCGTAGTCCTGGCCTCCTCTGGAAGGTGGTCTGAAAAGTCATTTTGCTGTCTGGTCTAATTAGTGTATTATGTTTTTATTATTATAGATATGTTGATGCATTTAATGGCTTACTAATTACACCATGCCAATCTCAGTATAAAATTCTGGAAGAACTCAGCTGGTGTTGCTCAGTGGTTGAGCTTTGTCTCATAAACCAGGAGGTCAAGGTTATATTCTCAGTCAGAACCCATACCCAGGTTGTGGGCTAAATCCCTGGTTGAATTGTACAGGAGACAACCAATAGATGATTCTCTCTCTCATCATTGATGTTTCTATCCCTCTCTCTCTCTTCCTCTCCCTGAAATATATAAAATCATAAACAATATTTTTTAAAATGCTGGAAGAATTAGGGACCCATCAAGGGTCCCTACGTGTGTATTAAAGATAAAAACTTGAATGACTGAAACAATTATGTATAGCACTGATAGATATTTATTTTATAGTTTTCCTTTCTCCTTAGCTTTTCAATAGCTCTTTTTAACACAATTTCTTCCTGATATACAAAAAATAAAAAATAAATAAATAAGCTTGCTTCTCTAAAGACATAAAATACAATAAAATCAGAAAAGGGTTTCTACAGTTTTCTGCCATCACATCTATCAACCTACTTAGCACAGTATGCTTTCATCTGCACAGATCTGTCTTCCTCCAGGTTCCCGTGAGTCAGTTCTCCACGCCATGTGCATGACCTCCTCTCCAGGCTTGCCCTGCGTCCTCACTTGCTCACCCAGAGACATGGCACTGTCAGTCGTTTTCCTCTTCCCTGCACTTGCATTTCCCCCATCGGATACACATTGCTCTGCCCTCATAAATAAGCTTAATTCCTATATGAAAATACAATGAAATCTCACAAACAAAACCTGAACACTACCTGCAGTGTTTCTCTCCTGATACAACTCTATCTCTCTATCCCCTCTGCCAAAAACCCTTTGGAGGAGTTACTTACTAGTATACAGTCACATGCAGCTTAATGAGGGGAATAACCTCTGATAAATGTGTCTTTAGGTACAATTTTGTCTTTGTGTGAACATCGTAGAGTGCAGGTATAAATCTGGATGGTATAGACTGCTACATAACCTATACTATATGGTATAGCCATTTGCTCTGTAGTAGAGGAAAAATTTCTATTTTTTTTTCCTCTCTACACTTCTATGTTCTTGGCTTGGATATCCCTGTAATAAAAGAATAATAGGAGAAAAACAAACAGATGTGTAATAGCATGTCGACCTCCTGTCTATAAGGAAGAAAAGATAGCCAGGAAAACCGAGTACCTCACCAAATGATGGAAGCCAAGCTTCAGCGGAAGACAAAAGATGTTGGGGTTGGTCGGAGTCAGTTTGGGGAGGTTACAAGGAGAAGCACAGTAAAGGAGGGTAAGACTGATGCAGATTTCAGTAGCTGTCTTCAGCTTCCATCAAGGGTCCCTAATCCCCCTCAGCTCCTCCTGGTGTAGCAAGGGAGATAATCATGCAAATGCAGAGTCCCCTTACATGTGTTAATGTCTTTTACAAAAGGTAGCATCTACTTGGTTTATAGATCTTCTCCCATGTCTGCTAATCCTTACAATTTACCCCCAAAAATATATATATAATTTTTAGGACAAATAGACATATTTTCAGGTGAAAAATTTTGTTCCCCTACAACTCCTGAACTACAAATCTGTACAACATTTGAGTGTACCGAATGCTGTAGGCAAGTGTAACGCAGTGGTATTTGTGTTATACATTGTGCTACATTAGAGCAATTAGGCAACAGGACATGTTCGGCCCGTAATGAACTGAATGGAATTGCTATCACATACACATCCCCGTGCACCCTCTACCACCATGCTCTTTAAAATCCACAGTAAAAGCAATCTTGTGTTCATTGCTTTGCTAAAATTACTTTTGTCCTCCACATTGTAAAATCTAAAGTCTAACATTAATTTCACCGTTTGTTCAAAAAAGCAACAACATGTAGCAAAACTGACAACTCCTTCAAGAAAGAGGTTCTTTCTTTGTTTAAGAACACATTATTCTCCAGATTCTCTAGCATCTGCATGGCATAACTTGCCTTCCCAGCTGCAGCCCATTGTACTATGTGAGGTCCATCTGGCCACGGGGTCTGCAGGGAATGGCCTGCTGGCCCCCTGGGGAGCATGGACTCGCCACTTCCTGGTGAAGTCGCCCAGACGACCAGGCTTATAAGGCCTGCCCTCTCCTTTGCTCTCTTTTCCTATTTTTAAATGTTAGCTAGCTAATTATGACAATCACACAAGTACATTTTATCCTCAAACTTCAATTTTTCTCCAAATCTGCTCCTCCAGAGGTCTTATCCATGTTAGCAATGATGGCTATAGCCTTCAGATTCCTCACGTAAATCACTGAGTCATATTCAATTCCACTTTTTCTTTTGTTCCACATCCAATTTTTCAGAAACCTCTGTCAGCTATGCTTTAAAAAAATATTCATAAATCAGCCACTTTATATTATTTCCATCACTCCAACCACTGTCCAAACGAGCACCACCTCCACCAAGTATTCCCTGTAGCTTCCTAAAAATCCTTCTTTAGCCAATAACCTGGAGAACTGCCAGAATGTTTCTTTTAAATCATAAGTAATGCCAATGCAGTCTTGTTTAATAAGATTAAATACTCACAAATAAATTAAGGTCACAAAATATGACACTCATAATGGGTGAACCAAGTTTTTTATACATATATCCTGCCAAACAAAGGCTAAAGGTAAGGAATATCTTGTTTTTGCTTTAGTTCTTGAGTATGAATCTGAGCACATTTTAGAGAGATTTTTTTAAATTGAATATAGACTGTTCTGGCTTTTGTATTGTTTTCATTATATGTACTTCTCCAGTTTTAATTCTATGTTCACAAAGGCTGTTGATTTATAATTCATTGATAATTATTGTATTATCATTATCACCCTTTGATTATTTTATTAGACAGTGATGCATGATATTCAAGGACACTATATCTGAAGTAAGGCTGTCTCTATTTAAATTCTGTTTCTCTTTATAACAAGCAGTAGGAACTTGGGGCAAGTTACTTAACACACAGGGTGTCCCCAAAATGTATACACATTTCAGTAATTAGTAATGTTAAATCTGAAAAGAAAGAAACATCAATTGAACTGTCAGAAAAAATTGTGTGTGCTTTTTTGGGGGGACACTCTATATTAACTTATTTTTAACAAAGGATTTTAATGAGAGTTGCTTTAATTTATAAGCATTCCCATTGGTTTATTTCCAGTTCAGCATTTGGAGAAATATTGTCAAACTTCTTAATATTGATATTATATCAGTGTGGTTGGTGTTAAATGGTAACTTATTTTAATTAACTCTTTTTTTTTAATGTTGAAAGTACTTTATGTGTTTATATGGCACTTATATTACCTATTCTATTAAATGTTTGTCATTAATTTTACTAATTTTTATATTGTGCTGGCTCTTTTTTATTGATATAATACATTGTATTATATATTATAGAAAATCCATTGTCAGCAAATATATTCACTCATTTTGTGAAATTTCTTCCTCTTTGTGGTATATTTGGAAGAACATTAAAAAAAAGTCACTTTTGAATGTAACCAGTTTTATCAGAGCTTTCTTTGTGATTGGGGCACTTTGTGTTTTGAAAGCTTTTATTTACTTAACTAGTAGCCCATCGCGCAATATTGCTGCAGCAGGCCACCTGCTGCTTCCGCAGGAGCCTCACTGCCTCTGTGTGGCTTCTGCAGCAGGGGGAAGCAAGCCTCTGGTGTCCATGGGAGCGGGGGGGGGGGGGGGGGGCACACCATTCTGCAGGAGGAGAGAGGGAGCCGAGCTGCTTCCTTAGGAGTCTGCCCATCATCTCTTCTCCGGGCCTGTGCTTGGCTGCAGAGGCTGTGGGCCGGCCCCTCTGTTCTCCAGAGGCCCTCTGCCACTAAGGCGGGATGCTTGCCTCAGCGATGAAGCAAGCATTCTGCCAGGCTGCTCATGCTGCCCACTCTCAGCGGCAGCCCTCACAGGACAGGGTGACTCCAGCAGAGTTTAGGGGATTGGGCGCCACCATCTTGTGGCTATGGGTGCTGCCATCTTTGTGATGGAGTGATGGTTAATTTACATATTTCCATTTTATTAGATAGGATGTATTACATACTGATATTTTTTTCAAATTAGATACAGTTTTGTTTTACCCACGTAAGTTCTTAATTATTTAAAATGTATTTTTGTTTATCATGTAATTGTGGTCCTTCTTATAACAATAATGCTATAATTTTACTGAAAACCATTTCTTTTTAAAAAATATTTTTATTGATTCAGAGAGGAAGGGAGAGGGATAGAGATAGAAATATCAATGTTGAGAATCATTGATCACCTGTCTCCTGCACGCCCCCTACTGGGGATCCAGCCTGTAACCCTGGCATGTGCTCTGACTGGGAATTGAACCATCGCCTCCAGGTTCATAGGCTGATACTCAACCACTGAACCACACCAGCCAGGTTGCAACCATTTCTTGATCAATCCTCTTTTACCCGCCGATTTGCAATAGCATCCTTACCATATATTAAATGTCCATATATAATAGATAAGTGGTTGATTCTTTTCTGTTTCTGTTTGTCTATATTTTTGACACTATCACATTGTCTTAAGTTCTAATTCCATATAATGAGGCTTGAAAAATGGTAAAGCAAGTATCTTTTTTTATGCTTTTTCCTTCATATCTGGATAATCTTTGCATTAACTATAATATTTTGTTATCTATCAGAGTTCTATGAGAATTCAAGCTAAGTTCTATTTAAATTTATCTTTATTTTCCCCAAGTGGAACTTGACATCACAAACTGTGTATATTCTCCCACAAGAAGGGAATGATTAAATAGGACTTTACTTCCTATTTTCTCTAAGTTTATTTATATTTGAATCCTTGAACTTTTTAAAGATCGTGTGACTTTTTTTTTTCTTTTTACCAACTGCTATGCTTTTCTCAGTTTAATGATGAAACTGATTTTCATCCCTTACACTCTGACAGCATACAATGAATTCTGACAACTTTCTCCCACTCCAGTTCTGAAAAACATGTAATTTCCTTGATATGACAAAAATACCATTTTAGCATTCATGGCATGCCTTGGTGTTCATTTTTCATTTTCCTGTAAGTTAATGAGTTTAGCAAGGAGTGCCATCATAAAGTTGTCTTTTGCCAAGAGTCCTGCTGTAGCATATGGAGCTAGTGACAAGCTACACTATTAAAGAGATTTGTTTAAAACCAAACCTCTAAAGTGTGCATGGAAATACTAAATACATCCCTGTGTGTTTTGCAGACAATCCTGGTTTGCTGAGCCATGTCACAGTGGGTATTAGAGTTCTGGATGTCAATGACAATCCACCGGAACTTGCCAGGGAATATGATATTGTTGTCTGTGAAAATTCTAAGCCTGGCCAGGTAAGTTAATTGTTCTCTTCCTGTCATTTGAATGGAAAAAGGGAAATGCAGCTCTATTTCTGTTATTCTTTTTTTTTCTTTTTCATTTTATTGAGTTTGTTCATTAATAAAAGGATATAGGTTTCAGGTGTAAAATTCTATAATACATCGTGTGTATATTGTATTGTGTGTTCACCACTCTAACTCTTAAAATGCTATTTTTGTGCCCAGTGAAAATAATTTTATAAAGCTTTATTTTAAGTACCAGATATATTTCTTTTTAGAATCACAGGAAATAAAATGTTCTCCAAATCCCAGCTTTAATTCAAAAACTAACTCATCTGTGCATGCACTCATCATGCCAATAAAATTATACTGAATGCTTTGTGTGTGGCCCCATAGTAAATGAAAAGGAGACTGTGACCTTGTCTGTGCTAATGAAGCTTTGCGACTAGATTGGGGGAATGGACTGGTATTTCCATTTTGGAGGGCCCAAAGGAGGGACATGAGTAATCATTGTGTGATACTGGTACAAAGAGATGATTAGGTATTAATAATGTGAAGAGTGTGTATGTATTAAGGAGGTGGAAGAGCTAAGGAAGGAGAGAAGAGCTTGAAAATGGGAAATGAGTCTGCATGGATTAGGGCACCTAGTTAAAGGAGTATGGCAATTCTGAAGGAAGGCCAGGGTGGTTGAGGCACATAAAACAAGTGGGGGACTTTGAAGGGAATTGGGGGGGGGGGATCAGGCCTGCAGGGGAAAGTAGCTAGGAGGACCAGGCTGGCAGGGGAGAGCAGTTGTGGGAGATCAGGCCAGCAGGGGAAGGCAGTTGAGGGAGACCAACAGTCCTCCCCTACAGGGAAGCCCCCACTCCATCTGCCCTCCCCTGCCAACCTAGACATCCCACTACTGTTATCCCCTGTAAGCATGGTCCCCCCCAACTGCCCTCCCCTGCAAGCCTGGGTCCTCCCTAACTGTCCTCCACTGCAGGCCTGGTCCCACCCCAAATGCCCTCCCCTGCAAGCCTGGTTTCCCCATAACTGTTCTCTCCTGCAGGCCTGGTATCCCCCCTCCCACAACTGCCCTCTCCTGCAGGCCTGGGTCTCCCCCCAAGTGCCCTCTCTTGCTGGCCTGGTCACTCACAACTGCCCACAATTGCCCTCCCCTTCCAGCCATCGTGTGGTGGCCATCTTGTGTCCACATGCAGGCAGTTATCTTTGGCCACATGGGGGCGGCCATGTTGTGTCTTGGAGTGATGATCAATTTGCATATTACTATTTTCTTAGATAGGATTAAGTTTGTCACCTCTGGTACTTAAATTTTTTTCTAGATCACCATTTTAAAAGCAGTAAATAATTTTATGTTACAGATATATAATGGTTTACTTAACAAATCTTGTTTTTAATGTGCCAGAAATGTATACATATATCCTAAATATTATTTTCTTAACATACATTATAAAGGTATAATTGATGAGAAAAATCTTAAAAATTAAAAAATATATAAGTACAGATTTAAAACATACAGCAACTAAATATGGAATTTCCATTCTTGGTAGTAAGAGTAGATTAGACATAGCTAAAGTAAAAATAAGTGAATTGAAAAATAGATGATAATAAAATGTCAAAAAGATGAAAAGAAAGTATCAATACAAATATGAAAGACATGCTACTCGCAGGTCTACTATATAATTTATTCAATTTTCAGCAGCAATTGAGCATTTACCAGTATATAGTATTGCTCTTTTATTCGCATAGCTGTTACTGTTTTCAGAAACTAATTACTAGACTTAGCAGCTCTGAATTCTAATGAAATTTGATTAAGTTATGTGATTGCTTCTTTTTACCCTTTAAAAACTGTATTTATATCTAGCATCATTGCTGTTTTTTAATGTTGTATGACTTTAGCTGTCAATATAAGATAATTGGGTTCTTTATGTTGCTCACATTTGTTTCCAACTCTTTAACCAAAGTGAGATTTGTCCATTGAAGGGATAAAAACATCATTTTAAAAGTGTTGCTTATTATACTTGTATTTAAACTATTCATTGCAAATGTGTGTGGTCAATTGTAAAATTAACCCTGCTTACATGGAAAATGGTTGGTTATGGAAATTTTCAGTCCTGGATTTATTAACCCTTATGTGTGTAGCGTTTCTGAAGAAACTTTGTGTAATTTGATGCAGGTTTGGAATAGATAGCTCTATTTAAATGATTTGTGAAATAGGTTTTTTGAAGCATATTTGCATTGTTCAGCTCTATAACACTTAATTTTAGAATTAAAGACATTTCTAATATAGATGCTGTGCACCTAAATATAACAGCATGTGACTGTGGCAAAGAGACTGGTCTCTTATGAAAGCAGAGTTTTAAACCATATAACAGTAGAGATCAGGTTGATTCAGCTATTAACATAAATTGCAACAATATATTTCCCTGAGTTAATGTATTTTCCTGTTCTTTAGCATGGGGAAGCAAGGAGGGTGGGCAGATGGGAGGCAATCAGTCAAGGACCTTGTATGAATATATACGTGACCCATGGACACAAACAATGAAGCGGTGAGGTCCTGGGGATAGGGGAGGAAGGAACAGGGGAGGCCTGGAGGAGGCCAATGGGGGGGGAGGAGACATATGTAATACTTTCAACAATGAATAATTATAAAGAAAATAAATTATTTTTAAAAGGAAATAATGCATGCATGAAATTAGAAATCAGTTCCCAAAACAGAGTAAATGGAAAGAATTTTTTTAAAGAAGAAAATAAAAGAAAGAATGCTTTTAATCTTCTCTCTCTTTCTCTCTCTCTCTCTCTCTCTCTCTCTCTCTCTCTCTCTCTCTCTCTCTCTCGTGTGTGTGAGTGTGTGTTTTCCATTGTAATTAAACTTGGGAAATAAACTAGCCTATCTAATAAAGAAATGATATGCAAATTAACCCTCATACCCTCACAAGATAAATGCCTATGACCAGGCTGGCAGGGAGTTAGTGAGGGATGACCAAATGACTGAACAGCAGGTTGCATGGGGCAACAAGGTTGGCAGAGGGGCAGAGTGAGGGGTGATGAGGCCAGCAGGGAGCGAGCAGTTGGGGACGACCTGGCCATCAGTGGGGACAATTATGGGAGACCAGGCAGGCAGGCAGATGAGCAATTCAGAGCCAGAAGTCCAGGATTGTGAGAGGGATGTCGACTGCTAGTTTAGGACATACCTTGAGGGGTCCCAGATTGGAGAGAGTGCATGTTGGATTGAGGGGGACCCCACATTCACAAATTTTGTACACCGGGGGGCCTCTAGTATAAAATAAAATATTTTATTACCTACCACAAGTCTCTGCCTCATCACATTCAATACAACTTTGCATGAAAAAAAGTAGTTAGATCAGTAGAGATTTTACACTGTGTCAAGATTCAAGCTCATTTAATTAACAAAAGTCAATATAATTATATTAGCAAATATATTCATTATCCCACAGACACCAGGGGGGTGAGAGCATGAGTGGGTGTGAGTGTGGGAAGAATGAAGGGATGAGGACATACATGTAATACCTTAATCAATAAAGAAAAAAAAATAAAGCAAACTTGTTGATTAATTTAAAGAAGATGCAATGTTTTCCATAGAATGCTCTTTTTAAAAAAAGTTTATATTTTTATTGACTTTAGAGAGAGAGTAGAAACATCAATGAGAGAGAAACAGTAATTGGTTCTCTCCTGCATGCCCCCTACTGGAGATTGAGCCTAAAACCCAGGCGTGGGCCCTGACCAGGACCTTTTGTTGCATGGGACAATGTTCAACCACCGAGCCACAACTGTCAGGCATAGAGTGCTCTTTTTGATGTAAATGATTAGTTAGGGCTTGATAGAAGATTGTTATTTTTATAAATTTGTGACATTATATTTTTCCTTAAAAGTTCTCCAGAAATAATAGATTTTGAAAAGCACATTTAAACAAGAGAATATTGGATAAAAGAAATCAAAATTCATTCTAACTAGCTTTTGTCAAAAGTAAATATTTACTTATGGGAATTATAAAGAATTATTTTAGTAATTATTTATAAATACAACTCTATTTTTATTTGTTTCTCCTTGGGTTGATTAAATCTGTATTCCTATAAGACAGTGTAGGTAAGTCATAACTCTGGTAGTGTAGAAAATACTCATGACGGAGACATGTCAATTATAGGTCTATCTATCAGAAGTTTAAATCTTATGGAAATTATAAACATTAATTTCTTAAGTATTTATCCTAATAAAAGTCTGAGGAGACAATACATGGCAATCCTATTTGCTAATGAAAGAGAAAAGGTGATTAGTAAAACAGAAAAATTGAAATATCCCATCTCATATCCAAAAAATATCTGACTTCTGGATAAAAAATGGAACAACATTCTAGGTTTTTGGAAGCATTCCTCAGAAATATTATGGAAAAAATTAAGTACAGATGTATGACTCACAATTCTACAACAGTTCAAGATGAATGGTTCACTCTGAAATAAAAGTTGTGATAAACACCTCATCATTTTCTATGTTGATGGGACCAAAAACCCTCTCACCAACACATATTTGCCAAATGAATTCAGATTTGAAATGACCTTTATAAACATGGAAATATATTTTACTAAAGATAACAGAAAACCAGGAAATACAACATAATATAAATTATATCAGAGTTTTATAAAAATAATAAGCTCCTGTTTGTAAAAATACTAAGAAAATTTAAATAACATATAAACTAATTTTGAAATAAGAATATAATTGCCCCAATAAAGTAATAACAAGAAACAAAATAGTCTTTGATTTAAATTACTTGTCCCTACCAATCCCCTTCAAAATTACTTTCTAGGATAAGAAGTGAACTTTTAAATGTGACAGTATCTTATAAGAGATCATTGCAAAATAAAATTGCAAATGGAGAATCACAATGAATGAAGACCAGTGGTAATAGGACATTTATTTTCCAAAAGAAAAGCATATTTATTTTATTTAACCCTGAACACAACCTTGAAATTTGTCTTTTTTATTTGTTTTTTAGTAAGTAGCTGACATGTAGAGAATGTAGATATGTTTGTTATATGCACACACTGTACTCTCCATAGAGAGTACATATACTTGAGAAAAATATTTTTAGATTCTGATTATTCATCATTAGTCTATAATAATAGCCAAGAGATAATAACAAGGAGAAAAACTATCTAAACAGAAGCGCTAAATATATATGACTAAGCAACCATTTGACTGTCCAACCCGTAGCTATGACATGCAATGACCACCATTGGGCAGACACTCAATGCAGGAGCTACAGAGCTGCAGTGATGGCAATGGCAATTCTCAGGTGAAGCACCCCAGAACCAGAGAGGAGGGAGCCCCATTCCCGGGGTGCATCACCCAAGAATCACCTTCTTGCAACCCAGGACTCTCGGGGGATGTCAGAGAGCTGTTTTCAGCCTGATCCCCACAGACCAGGCTGAGGGACCTACCTGCCACAGGGACCATGCTCACTTACTCTACAGACGCCCTTGGAGCTCCAGTGCTGCCCCAGGTGTAGCTGGCTAGGGAGGGGCCACGGAGATTAGCTCCAGGGGATGCCTGGCTTGTCTTGCCCAGTCCCACCCCACTGGCCACCTTCTAATTAATTTCCTTTCAATGTGCACGAATCAGTGCACTGGGGCACCAGTGCTTTAAATAAAAAGGAAACAAAAAATGAGCAAATATATTGTGAAAGCAGGATGAAGACTTTTTGGGGGATCTTAGGGGGAAGGGCTTTCACCTAGATCTCTTGCTAAAACAGTACTTTTTAGGTAATGATAAAACATAAAGGAGTGGGCTATGTGAATATACAAAGGAAATGGATCCATCTAAATCCTGAAGCACTTCATGAAACACATTTCACTTCATGAAACACATTTCACTTCATGAAACACATTTCACTTCATGAATCACATGCTTGTCTTGTCCAACTCTCACTGACCTCACCTTCTCAGTGCTTTTATCTTCCTCATCACCCTGACAACATCATGGGCTTAGTACATGGAGAGGAATTTTAGTTTTAACTGTATTACATTTTGGTGATTATTTCACTTGAGTACTTTTGGGTAAAATATTCTTCAAAATCTCATTTTTTGTAATGGATGTACAATATTTCACATACAGGAAATGATATTTTATGGCTCTTTTTGCTCTCTCTCTCTCTCTCTCTCTCTCTCTCTCTCTCTCTCTCTCTCTCTCTGTGTGTGTGTGTGTGTCTCTCTTTCTGTTTTGATATTTCCTGCTTGTGAAAATAGGAAAGGCTATAAAAAGCTATTTGTCTATATACAAGCTATTTGTCTAATGCTTTGTCTAAGCATTAGACAAATAGCTTGTATTTAAAATTGAGGCATATACAAATAATGATCATTGTATTTATTCAGAAGCATCCTTTTAATTTTTAAAAGAGGAAAATATTATCTTGCTAATTTGTTTGGATATTTATTTTTTAAGAGTATACTAATAATGGCTATAGCTACTGAAATTTACATTCAGTTTTTAGGCCATCTGGAATTTTTATTTACATATGCCAATATTCTCTGCTTCTTAATGTGCAAGGAATCCAAATTTTGGAATTGTTTTCTCTCACTAGAGATGAAAAATGTTCCATGAAGCTCTGAGTGATGTGGTTTTGTCTGTGCCATTATTTTACTATTTAAATTTCAGGCACATCACACTCCTAAGGAGACTCAGTTTCCTCCTCCCTCAAATACAGGAGCTGCACCACGATCAAAAAGGTTTCCTGAGACATTAAAAAATAATAAAAATAAAACTCCCCTCCTTTTGCATTTACTGATTGAAACTAACATATACTCAAAATCATTCTATATCAACACTGGGATAATTATATTTCTACAAACAATACTTCCTGTCTTCCCAAACAGATGTTCAAACAAAATCTTAAAACTAATTGGCCCCAAGTTACTGTGGGTGATAAAGGGGAAAGAAAAAAAAAAAAACTAATGTGTGTGCTAGGCTAGAAAATAAAATGTGAATACTTATAAATTGTATCCTAATATGTTTCCAGAAATCAATGCAGATAAGAGCAAGCTAATCGGTACTTTTACTAGTGGAATGCGAAAGCACTCAAGATGGTACAAGAGGCCTTTAAAAAAAACCCTTTTGTGTTAACAGCTGAAAATGTAATATAATTAAAATCAAGAGGCTAAGCAAGTTAAATTTCCTATTTGGTGTTTGTTTTTCTCTTTAGGTTATTCATACCATCAGTGCCACTGATAAAGATGATTTTGCCAATGGGCCACGGTTTAACTTCTTTCTTGATGAACACCTGTCTATAAATCCAAACTTCACCCTGAAGGACAATGAAGGTGAACATAAATACATATATATATTTTTATCAGTTTTGACTTGATATGGAATAAGCCTGAACAGTTTTGCTATATTCTTTTATATCCATGGACAGCTTGCAAATCGGCTTTTAAAGTTAGTTTGATGTTAATATGTTATGATCTGTGAATAGCTTGTGTTTAAAATTGAGACATATGTACAAACAACTTCCATTGAATTTATTCAGAAGCATCCCTTTAAACTAGAAATGTGCATGTAATGTGCTCTTGGGAAAATTTTAAGAGAAATCTTAGCTGACAAACATGTTTATGAGAGCTGCTGGAACTGCTAGGGGTGGAAGAATTTTAAATTAGGAAAAATGAAAAATGAGTCCTAGGAACAGTTAAAAAACAAAATGCAATGTTTGAATCACCTTGCATTAGTAAGATTGCCAAGATGTGCTGTACAAATTATATTTCCTCTTGTTGTTATACATATTTTTCAAAACATGGGTAGATAAATATGCATAAGTACAGAGTATGGGGGTGGGAGAACACCATACTTTAATCAGAGAAGATTTATCATGGTTTAGATCCCTATTTGGTAGATTCCTCCAGGTTGTGTAAAAGCCATTCTTTCATACATAAAAAAAAAAACAAAAACATTAAGTCATTCAATATGTACAATTTCTGATTAGCATCAAGTTTCTTGTCTCCCAGATTATCTTTCGCCACATTTATCTGAATATGCTGTTAATTGGGATTTAACACTTGTTTCTGAATAACGAAAAAAAGGAATAATGGCATATGTGTATGACAAATTGTATTTAATTGACTATTGTGCTATATTTACATTTGAAATCCCATTCTATAATTCCAAATATACTTAGTGGAATTAACCATACTAAATATGTAAAAAAATCAATTAGTATTTCCCCATATTGTATATAATTGGATGATTTGGGTAGCATTCAACTTTCTGTCCTAGGAGATTGAAATTATGTCTAGATATCCATATTTGTATTTCAATGGGAACTAATTTGTGAAGTTCTTCCTACTAGATTAGAATATCTGGAATTTGTGAATTTAATTAATATATTCAATGGTCTTACTACAGTGACTTGACCACATTTTCAATGCTAGCAACTCATATATATACATTTTAAAATGTATTTATAATTTGAATTAAATATTTTAATTTATTTAATTTATTTTAATCATACACATAAATGCTTGAATCAGCTGCACAATCTCAAATATGAGAGAACTATGGACAGTTGTGTAGGGGTAAAGATGTTTGAATTTGCTCTAATGGTGTGGCTAAGAGGTTGAGAATTGACCTTTGAACCAGGAGATCACGGTTTGATTCCTAGTCAAGTCACATGACCAATTTGTAGGCTCAATCCCCAGCAGGGGGTGTGCAAGAGGCAGCTGATCTATTATTCTTTCTCATTGATGTTTCTAACTCTCTATCCTTCTCTATTCCTCTCTGTAAAAAAATCAATAAAATATAAAAAAATACTGTCATAAAAATATAATGAGATATCTTTAAGCATGATACTTTATCTGACTGCATCTATAGCATATTTGAACCTCTGTTGGTGAATATATTCTCCCACCAGGGGGTTTTCTTATCAATTTCTTGATAGTTTATTTTGCTGTTCCAAAACATTTTAGTTTGATTGTAGTCCCATTTGTTTATTTTTTCTTTTGTTTCCCTTGCTGGAAGAGATATATTAGGAAAAGTGTTGCTATAAGAAATGTCCAAGATTTTATTGCCTATGTTTTTTTCAAGAACTTTTATGGTTTTTCTAGACTACCAGTTAAGTGTTTACTCTATTTTGACTTTCTTCTTGTGTATGGTGTAAGAAGGTGGTCTAGTTTTATTTTTTACACATATTGGTCCAATTTTGCCAATACCATTTATTGAATAGGCTATCTTTACCCCATTGTATGTTCTTGTCTCCTTTCTCAAATATTAATTGACCACAAGGTGTCAGTTTATTTCTGGGTTCTCTGTTCTGTTCCATTAATATATATGTTTGTTTTTATGCCAATACCATGCTGGTTTGATTATTATGGCCTTATAGTATAGTTTAATATCAGGTAGTATGTTTCCTCCAACTTAGTTCTTCTTTCTCAAAATTGCTGTAGCTATTTTGGGTCTTATATAGCTCCTTATAAATTTTTAGAATATTTGTTCTAGTCCTGTGAAACATCTCATTGATATTTTGATAGGAATTGTGTTGAATCTATGGATTGCTTTGGATAATATGGTGTTAATTTTTCCTATACATGAACATGGTATATACTTTCATTTATTTGTAGCTTCTTCACTTTCTTTCTTCAGTGTCTTATAATTTTCTGAGTACAGGTCTTTTACATCCTCAGTTAATTTATTCCTAGATATTTTATTCTTTTTAAAGTAATTGTGAATGAAATTGTTTTCATAGTTTTCCTTTCTGATAGTTCATTATTAGTGTATAAAATGCAAATAGTTTCTGGATATTTATTTTGTGTACTGCTACTTTACTGAATTCTTTAGTCAGTTCTAGTAATTTTTGGTGGACTATTTAGGGTTTGCTATATACAGTATTGTGTCATCTGCAAATAATGTCAGTTTTACTTCTTTCTTTCCAATTCCAATGACTTTTATTTATTCTTCTTGTCTGATTGCTGTTGGTAGGACTTGAAATACTGTAGTGAATAAGTGTGGTAAAAGTGGCATCCCTGTCTTATTCTGATCTTAAAGGAAACCCTTTTAGTTTTTGCCCATTAAGTATGATGTGGGCTATAGTCATATGTAGCCTTTATTACACTGAGGTATGTTCTCTTTATTCCCACTTTGTTGAGAGTGTTTATCATAAATGGGTACCAGATTTTATAAAATGCTTTTTTCTGCATTGATTGATATAATCATGTGTTTTTTATCCATTTTAAAAATGTTATGTATCATGTTTAGTAATTTGTAGGTGTTGTACATTTTATATTCCAGGAATAAACTCCTTAATCATGGTGTATGATCTTTTTACTGTATTGCTGGATCTGGTTTGCTAATATTTTGTTTTCTTTTGTAATGCATGTAACTGACTTTATCTTTATTTGTGGAGGCATTTACCTCAAAGATAGTTATCTGTAATCAACCATTACCAGCCTCAGGCTGAATCCTTCCCCATCACCTTTGTTTTAGAGGTCTTAGTTAATTTCAATAACTGATCATTTGGACTTCATTTTTTTCTGCTTCTCTGCCCACACTTTAAATTCCAACTTTTATGTTATACATTCATATAAAGCCCACAAAACTCTAGGTTACTACCCTCAACCCCACTAAAAGCAGAACCCCAAGATACATATGCACACAGTCATTCTCAACCTGCAACCTCTTTGGCCCCAGGTGTGCCAAGTAGTTTCCCAGACATGTAAGCAACAAACCTCTTCCCAAAGTTACCTGGTGGTTATTGCTGAGGCTGTCTTTCAGTCATAATAATAACCACAAGGACTGGTCCAGCCACAACATAGGTTATTCATTGTGTGAGATGAGCACATGACAAGGTGCTCCTTAAGTATGGTACTAGACAGGCATAAATAGATAAATGAGAGCAAATTCAAAGAGCTAAAATAAATAATTGTATATCTAAATCTATGTATAAATATATAAACCTGGCAGAAGACCAAGGTAGTATTTTTAACCATTGTGGGGAGGATAATTTAAAAAGTACATTGAAAGAGACTAACTAACTATATATCTAGAGAAACTAAAATTAGAATTCCTTGTGCATATATACACAAAGAAATTACACATAGATTAAGTAATTATTTATACAATAAAAAATTTAAAAGCTTTAGAGAAAACTGAAGTGGACTACATTTTGTAATTGGGAAGGAGGGATTCTTTTAAATAAAAGACATAAATATCACATTCATAAAATAATGGTAAATGTGATACTATTAAAATTATTTTATTTCTGCATCAAATTATTTCCAAACAAATCTTAAAAACAGGTCATAACCTGGTGTAATATATAGCCATGCATATAAGTGAGTAAGGATTGATATCATGACTATATTTAAAATATCCCACAAAATAAACTAAACATTCCAAAGAGAAAACAAAACAGTTAAAGGACAAGTTAGAATAAGTAATTAACAGAGTGATGCCAAAATAGTAAATCAACATATGAACATTTGTTTAAAAACATTAATGATCTTAAACATAAAAATAGAAAGATAATAATATGTCACATGTAACTCCTTAGCCAAAATATTAATAAATCTGGGAATGTCAATGGTTCAACAACCACATTTTGAAGATGTGTACTGGTAGCATTCACACCTTGCTACTGAGATTGTACCCTACTTGTATGATAGGCTACTTAGTCTGGACTCAGCTTTATGGATGCCTGGCAGAAGGTTCCACACTTCCGGGTCAGAGATAAATTATTTGATTTCTCATGACATGGGAAGCAATATGAACTTCCATGTTTTCTCTGATTTCCTTTACCCCAAAGTCTCAAGAGAGTGACATGAAGTGGCCCAGGTGCACACAGGGGAATTTCAGATTAGGGAATCCTAATATTCTACATTGGGCTGCCAGGAAATCAGGTTGGCCTTTGCCCCAGAGGTAGTCATTAAATGGATTGTATTGGGTGACAACAAACCTGCCTTCCATTCTGGGAGGAGACGCACACTCTCTCTCTCTCTTTCTAAGACTGTTCTGAATGAGAGCTCCTGCTGTGTGCTGTGACATCAGTAATCAAGCCCTTTAGGGCTGACCCAGGAGCCTTGCGTCTTTGGCCAGCCTCCATAAAAGTAGAGCAGGCTAACTTGTTAGCACATGGCTACGATAAACTTTCAATTACTTCATATTTCTTGATACTTCGTTGGATTAACTCCAAGTAAAAAGAACTGTAAAGAAAACATCTGTTTTCTATTGATAAATTGTTCCTATATGTATGCTTAGCTTATCCCGGAGACAGATGCCTTGATAGCATTTCTGCCTGGAATCGTGCAAGCTAGCTAATGTCCTCATGCCAAATCAGGCC